GGATCCTTCAGTTCATAAATAGGGGCATGGAGTGTAAAAGCAAGGAAGTGATGCTACACCTCTACAAATCATTGGTCAGACCACATTGGAGTATTGTGTTCAGTTCTTTATTTAAGTAAGAATGTTAAAGCCCTGGAGACAGTGCAAAGTAGATTTACTACAATGATAGCAGGAATGAGGGATTTTAAATACAAGCAAAGATTAGAGAAACTGGGTTTATTATTCTTGGAGCAAGGAAGATTACAAAGTGACCTTATTGGGGTATTCAAATTGTGAATAATTTTGCTCAGATAAAGAAATATATTCTATTTCCACTAGTTGCTATGTCAGTAACTAGGGCCACAATTTCAAGGCTGTCACCAAGAAAGCTACGATTGAGAGGAGAAGAAACTTCTTTACACAGAGAGTTGTTAGGATTTGGAATGATTTGGGAGAGGGATAGAGGTAGATTCCATAGTAGGTTTCAAAAGAGAGCTGGATATATATTTGAAAGCGATGAAGTTAAAGGGCTATAGCGATACAGCTAGAGAATGAGACTAGCTCGGTAGCTCTTTCGGGAGCTGGTTCAGACATGATAGGTAGAATGACCGCCTTCTGTCCTGTAAAATTCTATAACATGTTTTCCAAAAGGGCATTACATAGAAAAAAAAACTTGGAGAAATGAAAATTTGTGTAACCATAGGCAAACAGTGTTGATTAAAGCTGTTTCAAACATTTAGCATGAAAAGCTGACTGATCTCCTTTGGTGCAGCATTATTTCTCATGAACCATTCTTATGCAAATATAAGCAAGTAAGCTGCGATGTCTCTATTTCAGATGAAATAGGTTTAACACCCAGTTTAGTAAATCACCCATCAGGAACGATCAGTAATTAGATCATGAACACAGCAAGAATGGCAGCAAATACTGAAATACTTAAGAATGAGAGAGCTTTACTCTTCAAAACATAGGCAACATAGGAAGGTTCAATGATGAGGGAACAGAGAAGTTGTTTTATTTGTACTAATAGAGTAATAGTCACGTGACTGTCATACTTGGTGATGATATTGCCAACAATTAAGACAGCATAAATTTATGATAGACACGTGTTTGATAACTGCAAGCTAAGATATGACAGACCACAATCCACACAATCACACTCATGGGGGGGGTGATTTGAATATCTGACATTGACAATTCTGCCTTCCCCTGCTTTCTGCTTTTGCATTGGTGCAGAAATATAGTTCAAAGTATTTCTCTCCTCTCTTTTCAGCATGTTGTACTGAAATATGCGAACATAGTCATAAACATTACTCAACTGTGTTGCGCAAGACAGTTTGTTAGGTTGGATAATGTACAGTTGAAGGAGGTACTTCGAGGAGGACAGCAGGATACAAGAGGAAAAGAGGACAGATAACAAAACTACTGCAAGTATATTCTGAAGATTGACTCGAAGCAGTATAATAATGTAACTGACTGTTGATAAGTTCTGTCTAATGACAGACTGAAATGAAATAAATTAATAGGGCAGCAGAAGCAGAGAAATTGATATTGAAAACCAATAATGGAGCTACATAATAAAAGGGCATCTGAAAGAAATAAACAATATAAAGTGCCACAGAAACAATCTAATATCAAAAAACATATTCAATGCAAATATATGAAAAGCGATACAACTGAAACATAATACTGGAATACAATAAAAACAAAAGAGGGCAAGTATGAGAAAATTAAACAGCAACATCTGATGCATGGAAAATTAAGATGGAACCTATGAGATTTGGTTGCTGTAGACAGTCAACAGGTAAGACCACCATATCCAAGGGTGAAGAGTGTAACAACTCCAATCAGTAAGCATAAAGGAATATTATGGGCTGCAGTGATTCAAGGCGGCAGCTCAGCACTACCTTCTCAATAGCAAATAAGGATAGGGGAGGTGACAGGCCAGCGGTATTATCATTGGACTGTTAATCCAGGGCCCAGGTAATGTTCTTGGGACCCGGGTTCAAAACCTGCCATGGCAAATGGTGGAATTTGAATTCAATAAAAATGAAATGAAGAATTTAATGATGACCATGAATCCATTGTCAATTGTCAGAAAAAAAAACGTGGTTCACTAATGTGGTAACACAATGTGGAGCTGGAGGAACAAAGCAGGCCAGGCAGCATCAGAGGAGCAAGAAAGTTGACAATTCGGGTCAGGACCCTTCTTCAGAAATGGGCCAGCTTCGCAGTGGGGTTACAACTCACTCAGAGATAGTTAAGAACTGCCAATGCTGGAGTCAGAGATGACACAATGTGGAGCTGGAGGAACACAGCAGGCCAGGCAGCATCAGAGGAGCAGGAAAGTTGATGTTTCGGGTCAGGACCCTTCTTCAGAAATGGGGGTGGGGGTGGGGGTGGGGGTGGCGGTGCGGTGCATCGGCAGTTCTTACTATCTCTGGTTCACTAATGTGCTTTAGGGAAGGAAATCTGTCATCCTTATCTCGTCTGGCCTACATGTGAGAGTCTAGACAACAGCAATGTGGTTGATTCTTAACTGCCCTCTGGGTGATTAGGAGTAGGTAATAAATGCTGGCCCAACCAGCAACACCCATAACCCGTGAATAATAAAAGAAAATGCTCACCTTGTCATTGACACTCACATCCCATTAATTAATAAAAAAAAATCCTGAAAGTAGGAAAGAACTGCAATACAAGATATGATTGTTTGCACAAGAATAGAGTTTGCAGTTCAACAAGAATACTGTTTGTTACTGCAGTGGTAATGCAATAGAGACATGGTCTATGGGATAATGGGCTATCTGCCAAGAGCTAGAGAAGCAAACAGTGAAGTAAGGTTAGAAGAGATGTTCAACATGACATGATCATGGCCAGTACTGTTAGGCAACATAGGGAAAAACAACATACAGCTTTAATTGCCCTTGAGAAAATGATAGCAAGTTGCCACCCTGAATTAATGCAGTCCATGTGGTGTTAGAAAAAGAAATCAAGCTTTTGGATATACCAGCCATAAAAGGTCACATATGAGGATTGTAACAAAGCTACTCAAAGCTACTAGGTGAAAAACACATTTTACCTGATTGTATATGTCAATGAGTTCCTGGCAACCTGCTGCTTTTTCTGATGAAGGGTCTAGGCCCGAAACGTCAGCCTCTCTGCTCCTATGATGCTGCTTGGCCTGCTGTGTTCATCCAGCCCTGCACCTTGTTGTCTCGCTAAAACAACGTGGTTACTTTAGTAAATAATTCAGAAAATTTTCAGAATAGAAAGGATTGGTACAAGAGAGACTAACCATTCCTAAATCAAATCGGGTAAATAGACCTGAAAGGAATATTGAAGCAGCAAGTGAACATCATTTAAATTGGGTAGTTGGTGGGAAGAGAGGATAGAAGAGAGTTCAAAGGAGAAAATAACAACATAGAAGACACTGAGACAGAGTCTTACAGCATAGAAGCAGACCCTTCATTCCAAACAGTCCATGCCAAACCTAATCCCAAACTAAATTAGTCCCACCTGCCTGCTCCTGGCCCATATCCCTCCAAACCTTTCCGATTCATGTATCTATCCAAACCATTTCAACTCCCCCTCCCATTCCTCAGACGACATGTCCATCCTGGGCCTCCTGCAGTGCCACAACGATGCCACCCGAAGGTTGCAGGAACAGCAACTCATATTCCGCTTGGTAACCCTGCAGCCCAATGGTATCAATGTGGATTTCACAAGCTTCAAAATCTCCCCTCCCCCTACCGCATCCCAAAACCAGCCCAGCTTGTCCCCGCCTCCCTAACCTGTTCTTCCTCCCACCTATCCCCTCCTCCCACCTCAAGCCGCACCGCCATCTCCTACCTACTAACCTCATCCCGCCCCCTTGACCTGTCCGTCCTCCCTGGACTGACCTATCCCCTCCCTAACTTCCCACCTACACTCACCTTTACTGGCTCCATCCCCGCCTCTTCGACCTGTCTGTTTCCTCTCCACCTATCTTCTCCTCTATCCATCTTCTATCCGCCTCCCCCTTTCTCCCTATTTATTTCAGAACCCCCTTTCCCTCCCCCATTTCTGATGAAGGGTCTAGGCCCGAAATGTCAGCCTTTCTGCTCCTATGATGGTGCTTGGCCTGCTGTGTTCATCCAGCTCTGCACCTTGTTGTCTCGGATTCTCCAGCATCTGCAGTTCCTACTATCTCTTTTAAACATCTACCATTTCTTCAGGATGTTTCAACACAGAAACATTCATGTACCAAAGACCTGATGTAATCAGACATGAGGTTATGCGAAAGATATATTTACAATAAAATGTTTATCTACAAATGACAGAAACATTAGAACATACATGTTGCTCTCTCCAAATCATGTTGTCTCTCCTAAATTAAAACCTCCCCATCTCCTGTTGATATGTTCCTTGGTCACTGTTTCCAAAACCTACCCACCACAGATATTAAACTAACTGGCCTATAGTTATTAGGACTATCCTTGTACTCTATTTTTAAGCATTTTTTTGCCACCCTCAAATCTTCCTCCTCCTTATCTAGGAAGATTGGAAGTTTATGGCAAGTGCATTCATTATCTTCACCTCCAATTTCTTTAATAACGTGATACAAGATATTTGGACCACTCTAAGTACAGCTAACCTTGTACACAACATCTTCCCCCACCTCTGCCCCAGGGCTCTCATACTCCAAACCTCTACTCATGCCCTAGAACTACCTTTCCACTGCTACCAACTGAGAATTTCCCCATTTTCCTTGTACTTTTCAATTCTAAAAGACTATCAAAGCATCAACCTTGTACTTTCCAATGTATCTTTAGCTTTGAAAAAACCCAAGAGATAAAAGATAACAATCAAAATTGAACTAACTTTTGAGAGCAACATAGACTGCAGACTTTATAATTATGTGCATATTTGCACACAACTTGCAAAGTTTGAGCCCGAAGTAGCTATCAGAGGCTGCACATCAATTTGTAGGCTGAAATACCGTTGTATCATTTCACTAACAAGAATATGTGATAAACAGGTAATAAATTCAAATCAATGTCTTTATGTAGCTGTTAAATACTATAAATGGTAACCACAGTCACTTCATGCAATTAAAACAAAATTACTTCAACATTTGTATTGGTTAAAAAAATTCTTCAAAATCCAATGAGACCATTGAACTGTGGGAGAATCTTATTCATATAAAAATGTACAAGTCAAATAACTCTTTTACGAGGTTACCTTTCTTTTCCTATTGTTTTTAGTTTGTGCCTTTACTCTGTAACTTTTGAAACTCATTTAAACCAAAGTTGATGAAAATTAATGGTTGCTAAATTATTTAAATTACACAACTGGTTAAACTATATATTTAAAACATCAGGTTTTACGTTCCAAGCTTTCCTTTATCTACTGGTTTAAAATGTTGCCTTTAGTAACAGTAAGACAAAAACATGGATTTAATATATAAAAGTTAATTCTTAAAAATTCTATTGAACTACAGATAGCCAATGGCAATGTAGCTTTGTTTAATCATTTATCGTACAATTACATTGTTAGTTATTTATACCATGTCATTATTAAAAGGTTATGCTTCATATTCCCTTTCTTCATTCTCTACCAAAACGCAGTCATCTGCAACTTGATCTGTTGGATGATACTGAATGGAATTATGTCCATTTGCGGTGAGACATTTTCTTTTGTACGCATACCATGTAATTATTGAAATTATCACCAAAATTGCAGCAGCTGAAATGATTAATGCTGTTGGTAATACATTATTTTTTCTGCCTGTAAAAACAAGAAACACATTGTTAATGGTTTGGACCCAATGAAGCAATATATTATTACATTCTTTCTGGCTCAAAACGAACAAGATTGTACTATCATTGTTAACATATCATTTGAAATAATGAAGCGTCATGGATAAAATGGATGTGCTATTTAATTAAGTTTATGATAAGAATTGGAGTATTCTGTTGATGGACAGCCCTTTCAGTGTAAAAGGAACCACCATTCTTAAGGAAAGGTTGAGACATAAAGGTAACAAGGATCCCTTAAAACAAAGAGCTAAATGCTAAAACTTTTTCATGCAAGCACCTTTCATCATGTGGCCAGAAATTGCTGGAAAGTTGCTTCATTATAGTGATGGTCACCATTATTACTTGGTAAAAACTCTAAGTGTTTGGGTGTAAATAAACTCTGATTCTCTGCACATAGACGAATGATCTGATCTGTTCACTGTTAGCACTGCTAAAGGCAATAAAAGCCTCTCGCCATGACAGAAATGAAATTACCCATTTAACTTAATGGCAATTGTGAAATTACTGGATTTATGACAATATTGTATGTCCTGTCATTTTAGTCCGGGAAGTAATGTCACAAAGAACCATCCGAATGAGGGAATTTATGGTCCTGGCATGACACTCAATCTTTGGAGCCCAGAAAAGGAACAATGAAGCTGTGGAGTTTCACTTCAGCTTGTAGTAAATTGTACCTAAAGAATTTTTTTTTGTCTGTTTAGTTGCCTGTATTTTTTACACCATCTCTTGTCATGTCCATACTTGTCACAGTTGGAAGGAATTAATTCTCAGGACACAAAGCTGTCTGGACATTTAGAAGATGGTCATTTAGAATCATACAGCATGGATGGTCCAACCAGTCCACGCTGACCATGTTCCAAACTAAACTAGACCCACTTGCCTGTGTTTGGCCCATATCCCTCCAAACCTTTCCTATTCATGTACTTATCCAAATGTCTTTTTAACGTTGTAACTGAACCTGCATCCACCACTTCCTCTGGCAGTTCATTCCACATATGAACCACACTGTAAAAAAGTTGTCCCCCCTCATGTGCTTTTTAAATCTTTCTCCTCTCACCTTAAAAATATGCCCCCTAGTTTTGAACTCCCACACCGGAGGGAAAAGACCTTTGCTATTCACCTTATCTATGCCGCTCATGATTTTATAAACCTCTACAGGGTCGCCCCTCAACCTCCTGCACTCCAGTGAAAAATACTCCTGGATATTCTGTCCCCATCCTTGTTCATCTTGCAGCACGTCTCCATACCATACCCACTTTATACAATGTGCATCACTAATTCATCCACTTTATTGTGAAAGCTCCACACATTAAATTACAATTAAAGTTTTGGCAAAGATCTGTAGCTCAGGTTGTGGATGATGTTGTTGACTTGTTCACCAAGTTGGTTTGTTTTTGTTCAGACGTTTCATCACCATGCTAGGTGACATTATCAGTGGAGCCTCCAGTTTAACTGGGACAAGGTAACCATAGTAGCCCAAGTCAGACAGACACGTACAGGAATTCCTAGAGGTATGGTTCTCCACCCATACTTCAATCAACAAACATGTAGAATTGGACCCCATATACAAACCCATACAGATCAAAACCGGAAATGACAGTTCTCACCATAACGGACCAGACAGTTTAAATTCCAAGCGGAGTAGAATAACATCGCTTCATCAGAGGCTCCACTGATGATGTCACCTAGCACGGTGATGAAATGTCTGAACAGAAACAAGCCAGCTCGGCGAGCTAGTCAACAACCTCATTAAGGTACAATGCCTTAAGGCTTGTCTTTTTAACATTCTTAGTCCTGTTCACATTATTCTGCATTGTGGTCCACTTCATTCTGGTCATTGTACTCTGCCTGTTACATTTCTTATTTCCCATTGTCTTTTGTTTTTGACCTTGTTTCCCTCTCTTATGTCTCCTTGTATTGGTTAAGTTCCCCCTATCATTTTAGTTTAAACCCTCCCCAACTGTACAAGCAAATATTCCCTCTAAGATATCAGCTCTGATCCTGTCCAGATGCAACCAAACTAGTTCGTACTGAAAACACTGGATACTGCCCCGGCTTTCACTTTCTCACCCATTAATCATCTCACTCGATTTTCCTAGAACCCCAAAATCTATCAATCTCAATGACGGAGTATCCACGGCCCTCTAAAATAGAGAATTCTAAAGATTCACAACACACTGAAGAATTTTCTTAGCCCGAGATTATTTTCTGTAGTTCAAGATTCCCTAGTCTTCGGAAACAGGCTTTTAGCATCAACCTGGTCAAGCCCAGTCAGATTTTCTTTTATTTTATTTCATGGGACATGGACCTCACTGGCAAATCATCACTTCTTGGCCTTAATTGTCCTGGAGAAGAGGTGGTAGTGAACTGCATTCTTGATTGCAATGTGGCTGATGCTGAACTGCTCTCTGGGCAATCAGGGATGGGCAATAAATGCTGCCTAGCTAGCGACGCCCTCATCCCGTGAATGAATATAGAGAAAAAAAATCGTTGCAGTTTATTTGATGTAGGTACACACACACACACACACACACAATGTTGTTAGGAAAAGAGTTCCGAGATTGTGTTTCAGTGACAGTGAGAAAGCAGCCATATAATTCCAAGTCAGGATGTGTGGCTTGGAGGGCAAATTGCAAATTCCAGAGGGAAGTGGTCCGGGGGTTAGAAGATGTTGTTTAAGGAGGTTTGGCGAGTTACTGCAGGGCATCTTGTAAAACAGTGAATGTTGAAGATGATAGATAGGGTGCTAATCATATTGGCTGCTTTGTCTTGGATGGCGTTCATTTTCTTGAGTGTTGTTGGAGCTGAACTTATCCAGGCAAATGGAGTGTAGTCCATCAAGACTTTTGCCTTGAGATTGTGGACAGGCACTTTGGAGTCAGCAGCTGAGTTTTTTGCTGTAGAATTCCTACCCTCAGACCTCTTCTTGGTGCTGCAGCTCATTTGTATGGCTGGTCCAGTTCAGTTTTTGGATAGTGGTAACTCCTAAGAAGTTGATAATAGGGAATTCAGTAAGGGTAATGTAAAAAGTGATGGAGATAATCATTGCTTAGTACTGGTGTGGTGCAAATGATACTTCCCACTTATCAACCCAAGCCTGGTTGTTTATATGTCCACACGCAGCAAGACCTGGATTGTGTGCGGATCTGAGGAGTCAGATGCTGAACATGGTACAATCATCAGTCTCACAGTGGTGGCATGCTAGAAATCAAGTTCCACTTTTTCTAGAGTAAATGTAAATGTGAAGATTTAATGAATTGACTGAAAATCCCAATTTGCCTCTGACAGACTGCTGTCCAGGATAAACAGTTCGTATCACCAGTCCAAAAATCATGACACGAGATGGGTTGGTTTCACAATCCTTAATTCTTCAAAGATGCCTTGATGTTATTTGCACTGTGATTTTCAATCTACAGTTCACTGGTTGCTTTGCTGGATCCAGGGCCTTTCTTTACATCTTTAGATTTTAGAATTAATTTTGTCAGCATAGTTTGTTTTTGTTCCTTCACCGAAAATTGGAGAGAGAAAAGATGGATCTAACTAGCCTCAGGAGGTCTCCTTGCTTCTCTCTGTCACTCCCATCACTGAATTGGTGTTAAACGGCAATCTAATCAGAGGCTTGTTGTATGCTGAGCTCTCTTGATCCCACAACTGTCGGTGCTAATTGAAAAGCCAATCAAAAGGCTGTCTCTGGGCAAATTTACTCAAGTATACATAAGTGGTGCTGCTTTCGATGGACTCAATGACCCAGTTAGTTGGGGTGGGTCAGTTAGCTCAGTTGGTTGGATGATAATTTACAATGTAGAGTGACAACCCCAGAAGGGGTTCAATTCTCTCAGTTTTTGAGGTCAACATGGAAATACTGTTCCAGTTAGTTAGCGGCTCTTGTGATACAGTGGTAGTGTCCTACCTCTTGAGCCATGACACCTGGGTTCAAATCCCACCTATTACCAGAGGTGTGTAATAACATCCCTGAACAGGTCAATTAAAATATTTGTCCCAGTTAGCTCGAAGCTTTTGTGGTGCAGTGGTAGTGTCCCACCTCTGAGCCAAAAGGTCTGGGTTCAACTCCCAATTCCTACAAGACATGTGTAATAACATCTCTGAGCAGGTTAGTTAATAATATCTGTCCCAGTCGCCAAGGGCTCTTGAGCTACAGTGGTACTAACTCTCAACCAGGAGGCATGATGAATTGATACTTAATCAGTTCAGAGTCAAGGTTGAGGGCTACGTGTGCAACTCCCTCCTGACCGTGTGCTGTTGTGCTGCTACCTTAGGTGGGTCTGTCCTAGTAGTGCAATAGGACACATCCAGGGATTGGTGATAGTGTTGTCTGCGGCATCATCTACACAGCATGTTTCCAAGTGTATGACTATGACAGGCTGTTGTTAGATTAGTATGGGGAGTAGCTCTCCCAATTTTAGCACAAAGCCCCAAAAGAGGACGTTGCTGGGTTGACAGGACTAGATATGCCACTGCTGTCGTTTTCAGCAGCTAGGCCAATGCTGGGTTGTTCATCCAGTTTCATTGTGTGCAATCGTTCTGTACTTGCTTTCAGAGGGTCATCAACCACACTGCTGTAGGTCTGAAGTCACATGTAGTCATAGGGAAGGACAGGAGATTTCTTTCCTTCTATGTCATTAACAAACCAGATGAGTTTTTATGTTTAGTTGTCAATGGTGTCATGGTAAGCATTACAAGCAATTTTAAATCTAGATTTATTAATTAATTTTAAGGGATAGGCTGGGCTTGTTTCTACTGGAGTTTAGAAGAATGAGAAATAACCTGATTGAGTTGTGTACAATTCTGAATAGTCTTGACACGGAGGACGTATAATAGAGTCAGATCTACAGCACAGAAAAAGGCCCTTGGCCCATCGTGTCCAAGCTGTTCAAAAACAACCAACTATTGGGTCTAGGCCCGAAACGTCAGCCTTCCTGCTCCTATGATGCTGCTTGGCCTGCTGTGTTCATCCAGCTCTACGCCTTGTTATCTCAACTATTCTAATCCTGTTTTCTAGCACTTGACTGTATACCTTGTCAATGCAGGTGTACATCTAAATACTTCTTAAATGTTATGAGGTTTTCCACCTGTACCACCCTTACAGGCAGTGTGTTCCCATGTCCCACCACACTCTGGGTGAAAACATTTTTCCTCACATTCCCTTTAAACCTGCTGTCCCTAACTTTAAATCTATGTGGATAGAACAAAGAACAAAGAACAAAGAAAATTACAGCACAGGCACAGGCCCTTCGGCCCTCCAAGCCTGCGCTGATCCAGATCCTCTATCTAAACCTGTCACCTATTTTCCAAAGATCTGTATCCATCTGCTCCCTGCCCATTCGTGTATCTGTCTAGATACATCTTAAATGACGCTATCATGCCCGCCTCTACCATCTCCGCTGGCAACGCGTTCCAGGCACCCACCACCCTCTGCGTAAAGAACTTTCCACACATATCTCCCTTAAACTTTTCCCCTGTCACCTTGAAATCGTGACCCCTAGTAATTGAGTCTCCCACTCTGGGAAAAGGCTTCTTGCTATCCACCCTGTCTATACTTCTCATGATTTTGTAGACCTTAATCAGGTCCCCCCTCAACTTCCGTCTTTCTAATGTAAATAATCCTAATCTACTCAACCTCTCTTCATAGCTAGCACCCTCCATACCAGGCAGCATCCTGGTGAACCTCCTCTGCACCCTCTCCAAAGCATCCACATCCTTTTGGTAATGTGGCCACCAGAACTGTACGCAGTGTTCCAAATGTGGTCGAACTAAAGAATGTTTCTTCTTGCAGGTTAGTCCAGAACAAGGGAGCACTTAGAGAACAGAGAGGATAATTTATTTCTCTTTGGAACTAACTGGCTCAGAATGCAATGGAGGCAGGGTCATTGAATATTTTTAAGACAAGAGGTGAGCAAGCTTTGTTAGGCAGGGGAACCAAAGGTTATTGTGATTTAAAAAAAAAACAACAATGCTGGAGAAACTCAGCAAATCTGGCAGCAAATGTGTAGAGAGAAAGAGAGTTAACATTTCAAGTCCAATAATGATTCTGCTTCAGAGCTGGGGATTATTGTGGGCAGATAGGAATATAGAATACAGAACACAAACAGGTCAGCCATTGAATGGCAGAGCAGGCTCCAAGGAGACATCTATCTATTGCAAATCTTTTCACTGCTGTCTTAAAAATATTCAAAGACACTGGTTCCAACACCTTGTGAAGCAGATAGTTCCAAAGATGCTCAATAGACCACTGGTGCTCCTAATGCATAAAGTTCACCAGCTGCCATAGCAAGATTTGAACCCACATTCCCAGAGCATTAGCCTGGGCCTCTGGACCACTAGTCCAGTGACATTACCACTGCAACACCACCTTCTCTAATTGTTTTAATAATGTCACCTCTCATTCTCTTGAACCCAAGAGAGAATTTCTTCACAAAAAATACAGAGCAGCGGATTCTAGAAATCTAAAACAAAAACTGAAATTGCTGTAGAAACTCAGCAAATCTGGCAGCATGTGTGGAGAGAAAGCAGAGTTAATATTTCAGGTTCAGTGAACCTTATGAGAATTTCATTTCTCGTTATAAATGAGCTCCTTCATCTCAAAAAATTAAACAAGTGATCCTTTGCTGCACGTCCTTCCCTAAGCCAGACTAATAGAAGACAAAATAGATAGACTTTGGATTGAAATTGCTTTCTGTTCATTTGAAAGGAGTGTAATTGATGTATACACTAGGGACTCGAAATGTTACTGGTGGACAGTATGTGAATGGAATATACTTCATGTGTCAAACACATTTATACATTTTACAAATCTGCCTTATCATTTCCTCTTTCACTCTTCAAGGAAGTTGTTCCTGAAATTGGGCCTCATTGCACCCACATTACACTTCTATTTTGATCTCAGATGATGGAAAAAGCATCAGTTCTTTAAGATATCATGAATAAAAAACATTTTCAGATCAGACATTTAAAATAATGTACAACAACAAATAATGTGTTTGACTCATATACTCACCTTTTGAACATTTTTCTCCATCAGGTACAGCTACTAGAAAAGAAAATAAAACTTCCATGAGTTAGAAGTAAAGTTAAACACTGGATGTGCAGTCATGCTAATGTGACAACCAAAGCGAGATGAGTGTATTATCCACTCTAGTCCCCACCACTCCATAGGTCACAACATAAAATAAAAATATATTTCCCTGTTACCGAAATGGCCAATAAAATACCTTAATATATCATTTTTAAAATTAAAAGATTCATCAACCAAGTTTCATTAGTAAATACAATTGCTGATTTATCAAAATCTTTATTCAAGGAGAATAAAGTAACAATTAACATACAGAGTTTGTATTATGAAAGTATACATGTTTATTCCTCTAAATAATTTCAAAATATACTCAAAAACACACACAGACACAGACACACACACTCACTCAACTGAAAGGATTTAAAAAAAAGATTACATAGAAACTAAGAGCAGGAGTAGCCATTTGGCCCTTTGAACTTGATCTGCCATTCTATATACTCATGCTGATCCTCTCTTTCAATGCCATATTCTTGCTTTCTTCCCATACTTCTTGGATGCCCTTAAAATCTAAACATTTATCTACCTTGAATATATTTAGTGAATTAGCCTCCACAGCTTTCTGTGGTACAGAATTCCTTAGGATCACTGCCATTTTAATGGAGAAATCTTTCCTCATCTCAGTCCTAAATAGTCTATGTGTATCCTGAGACTGACTACTCCGGTTCTAGACTCCCCATTAGGAAAAACATCCTCCCTGCATCTAATCTGTCCAGCCCTGTTAGGGATTTCTCTGCAGAGATTGGGTTTCTGAGAGAAAAAAAAACACTTTGGTTAATTGTTAGGCATAAATGTTCTTAAGTCTGTCAGTCTGATGTTCTAGCATCTATAGTCTAGTCACCAATTATGCACAGTTGCCTTTAGAGTCAGACAAAGCTTGTTAGCAAATACAACATTCTCAAACTCCTTCAATTACTCTTTCAGAGGAAGAAATTAATTAAGTCAACAAGAGGGTTTTTTTTCAGGAGTAAGATATTAGGTGGGCAGCTCTTACTCATATGATTCTCGTTTCCTACCAAATTCCAGCTACCATTCAAACAGTCCCAGCAAGGGTCCGCAGCAAAGGAAGCAGGTATCACCAATCCTGTCATTTCTAGGAGGCCTTGTTTAAAAACAAAACTTCAACATCCACAGTAACCTTTCAATGTTCTCTTTTAAAGAAACTAATCTAGGTATTTCTGCAAAATTAGAAATAAATCAATTTTCCACAATCCTTCAAAACTTAAGTCCTCCATGAAATAATAAACATAACATCAGTTATCACACATGTGATAATTAATTAATGACTTGTAAAGCTGAGAAATAAATCTAGGGCCTTATAGACACCTCAATGTAAATCTGAACTAAAAAAATAAATGCAAGGAATGTTCTGCAATATTCAGAGTAAATGGCAAAAAGGTATGTTGATCGGTAGCTTTTCTGCTTATCAAGACTTTGTTACCTAGTATTGATTTACACTAAAAGTTAAGTGCCAACCTTGGATCACAGGTGGCACTCACTCTTGGTCAAAAAGGTTGTAGGTTCAAGTCCCACTTCAGATGTGAGCTCATAATCCAGGTTGCTAAATTGAGTAAGAAGCTCAATCAGAGATGCTCCCTTTCAGATAGGATGTTAAATCACATTCCTGTCCAAGTCCGTGTTTCCCAAATATTTTCCCTCTGTGATCCCATTTCAAGAATTGAAAATTGCTGCAACCCCTCAGTAAGAACTAAGAACGTGTCATAATTTTGTCAGAGCTCATGGCTGCCTCCGAGCACTCTGTCCCAATATTTCAGACCATGAGCCCATTTCAAGACCTGACCCCCCACTTTGGGAAGCCATGCTTTAGTTGCTCATAAAATCTCCTATGACACAGTTCGAATAGCAGATAAATTGTCCTACTTCATGCTCATCAACCACCAAACAAATTATTTGCTCATTTATCTCATTGTCATTGGTGGGACATTGGACTATGCAAATCGGTTGCCATATTTCCTTTCACCGCAACTGTAACTATACTGAAAAGTATGCTTAGTCGGCTGTGAAGTGTTCGGGATCAGAAGTGTTACAAATACAAGTACCTCGAATCTTTATTAGCATTCTGCTAAACTGAGCATTCTTTTAGGTCTGGAAAGGTATTACTGATCTCTGGACCAGATAGTCTGAGTTCAAGTCCCAACTACCTTAGAGATGTGTCATGTGATTTCTGAACAGGTGTTTTTTTAAAATCACAATCATGTACTACTTCACACATTCCAGAGCTGAAAGGTATTCTCAAGAATCCCAACAGTGTGGAAACAGGCCCTTTGGCCCAACAAGTCCACACTAACCCATCCCCCTATAACCCACCTAATCTACACATCCCTGAACACTATGGGCAATTTAGCATGGCCAATCCATCTAGCCTACACATCTCTGGACTGTGGGAGGAAACCAGAGCACCCAGAGGAAACCCACGCAGACATGGGGAGAATGTGCAAACTCCACACAGACAGTCACCTTCGGGTGGAATCGAACGCTGGTCCCTGGCACTGTGAGGCAGCAGTGCTAACCACTGTGAAACCTTCTGGCAGGGCAAACCTTCAAGAGAAAGGTTTCCACAGTTTCTATAAATGCAGATGCCAAGTTATTTCAATGAAAGAAAGAAAATGGGTGCTGAACTCATAATTTTCTGATATGCAAGGAAGATAAACATGGCACTAGTAAAACTGTGTGGAATCATGGTATCTCCATGAGAGATTAGTCCCTGAATGTGTGATGCACAGATTGAAATTTAATGCACACAACAGATAATTATTAAGATCACTAAATTGGTCAATGTACAGGAATCAGAATAACTTGGGCTCCTGCAGAGGGATCCATCCTGAAAGTAATATTCTACTTCAACATGGCACCAGACAAAAACTGAGACAAACATCCAGGAAATAAAATGAGGTAGAATTCTTGGAGCTCTAGAAGCCGTCCATCAGAATGCTAGATCAAATATAGCCGAGACAGGAGAGGGATTTACAATTAAATAATTCAGCTAAGCCAAAAACTAAACTTTTCATGTTGGAAGTTTACAGTTTTATTGGATCAGAGGTAAAATAACTTTTCAGAGGTCAACATCCCATCGCTAATCACCCTTTCACTGCCCCTCACTGAGTCAGGCATTCTGGGGCTCTATTCCTGACATTCACGCTTTTATGTCAGCCAGATCTCCTTGACTGGACAAAGTTAACAGCCCCACTCAGGTAAATCACATTCTATGGAGGTCCAACTGGCTGACCTCATTACAATCACTGCAGGAAGCAGGACTTAAGTTTGCCCCTTGTTCTTAAGTCAGAGGTCACTTAACATTCATGGAGTGTTTCCAGTACGATGCCTGCCAGAAAGCAGGAGCTCACCAGCAGCATCCAGGAAATGTCCTGTGTTGCAAAAGTGGGATTGCTATAGAAGCACATGAAGAAACAGGAAACATATTAAAAGGGCAAACAATTGTCGAACACCATCACATCACTTACTGATGGCCACAGCAACAGCCTTCAGCAGAGCTGGGGGAGGAAAAAAGGTAAGTATTAGGTCTCCTTCCTCCTCCAGAGCCTTCTTACAACTATCCTAGGGACCACATTAAGTTCAACCTGGCAGTGTATAGGAACTTCAAATAGTAGAATGAATGAGACGAAAAAGGGCCAAGAACGAGTTCTTGCAACCCACCATGTCCCACAACATTTGCGTGCAGTTTGACAGTGAAGATGCAGCAGCCAACAGTCTTGACAGGGATTAAGGCGGAGAAAGGAAAGATTGAAGCACAGACAACACGTCACCCTGCCCAAAATTTGCTCCCTTTTCTCTTGCTACTCAAAGATCCAGCCCTCAAGTGCACATGTTCAAATGTCTGCGTAATGGATGTATTCATTTGTGAAGAGCTAAATGAAAATCCCAGTTAAAATACATTGTTATCCTGTTTAAATGGTGAACATGCTTCAAAACAGCGTAAGCAATCAATGGGTTATTGCATTTTGCTCTGTATCTAAGACCTCTACGCACGTCTGAACCAACATATTCTAATCAATGGAGACATTTGCTTTATTTTGATACATAAAGGGCAATGCGTGGATTAATGTTAAGGTGCATGCATACCATTTGATTGCATCTCAGAGCACAGTAAATGTGTTAAGTGATTTGTACTTTGTTTGCTAATGTTAATTTAGTTTGCTCCACATGATTATTTAGGGAGCTTAGGTTTAATCACTGATGTCACCAAATGAATTATGGGGATTTTACTTCAGTATTGCATGCTTGTCTTGAAAGAAATAAGATGAGATTGAAATTCATCATCTGGTATGAATATTAGTCTTGTGCATAAGAAATGCCAAATCCAGACAGATTGTTTGACCTCTGTTGTCTAAATAGACAGGAATTTTCCTGCTATGAGGCTAAAACCTTTTGAAGAGTGGCTGAGTTGACTAGTACTTGCAGCACATTGTTGCAAAATTAGATTTTTCTTAGTTGCCTTTATTGATCGGATGGTCCAATGTTTCTTTTGTTGAAATCAATCTGCATAACTCTCCTTAGTGCAAATTCTGCAAATAACTGTAAATTAAGCACTGCTTTCCTTGTTACATCAAAAACTAAAAAAATCTTGAAAGTGCAATCTTCAATTGTCAAAATAATTAACCTAAGATAATCTAATTCTCACCAAATCTTGCACTGTAGGTGCACAGCATTCCGAAGTTTTATACTAATATGGATTCCAGATTTGGTTGTAGTACTCCAGTATTTTAAACCTTGAGTAAGTTTCTCGAGTGCAGTTTTCGGGAAGTACATCATCACTGCAGACTATATAGCTCTTGTCATAGCAAAGTATATTGATGATTATATGTTTCCACAAACAAAGGAAAATAGACAAAGATAAATTTTATTTAGGGACGAGTGTACAATGATAATTATGTTTATTGCGGTCACTGAGACGGACAGTAAGTCTATTCAGACCTCCATTG